CCGTAGTCCCATTGATGGCGATGGGGGCGTGTCCCTCTCCCTGCTGCTTCCTGTAATCCACAATCAGCTCCTTTGTTTTGCTGATGTTGAGATGGAGGTTGTTCTCCTGGCACCAAGATGTCAGGTTTTCGACCTCCTCTCTGTATGCCGTCTCGTCATCGTCTGTGATCTGGCCGATGACGGTCGTGTCATCAGCAAACTTCACGATGGTGTTGGAGCTGTGTGTGGCCACGCAGTCGTGGGTGAACAGGGAGTAGAGGAGAGGGCTGAGCACGCAGCCTTGAGGGGCACCGGTGTTAAGAATCAGGGTGGAGGATGTGATGTTTCCCACCCGCACTGCCTGGGGTCTGCCCGTCAGGAAGTTCAGGATCCAGTCGCAGAGGGCGCTGTTGAGCCCGAAAAACTCATTTTGCACAATTTGATATCAATGACTACAGTCTGAGAAAATACTAACTAATATAATTCTAGTTGATATGAAATAGACCCCAATAGCTGAATCACTCTGGGTCTGTGAGAGTATATCATTATAAGGGGGGAAAAACACATTTCTGCTGCAAAGGTTGTGATGATTATTTTTCTGACTTCTCTAATCTTTGCTTTCTTTAAATAGTGGAGGGATCTTTAGGTCTCTTACAAGTATTTTATATGTTAGTGAGACATTGTCACTTTGCTCACTATGTCATGTAGATATTATTACATTTGTTTAATAATAATAATAATACATTTGATTTATATAGCACACTTTAAAAACAACGTCATCTCAAGGTGCTTCACAAAGCTATAAGGAACAATAAATGTTTGACATTTTCTTGTACTTTTTGTGTTGCTGCAAGACCAGGTTTCCCCTAGACTTGTGAAAAAACATATTTGGGAAATATACAAATATTTAGTAAGTAAAATATACATGTCGCAACTACGCAATGTGTCCAATGTGTCCAATGTGTTGGAAGACAAAGACAAGTAAAAACAGAGGTTCGAGTTCCAATTCAAAGGCCTGTTGAAAGTTAATTCCTAGTTTCTCACAGTTTATCACTTTTTGATATTATCCAACAAATTCTCAATCCTGTTTTGTTCTAATGCATCACTTAGTTGTGGTCCACCATGGCTGTATTACTTGGGCACACACAAGCTCTAGTTTTAATGGACATCATGAAACGGGAAACATTAATATCTACTTCAGTTGGATCTTAATGTGGTTTCAGTGCCACAGAAGATCTAGACAGGGCATCGGAGAGACAAGGCCTAATGGAGTTTTAATCGATACATGTTGGCAGGATGTATCTCGGATTCCTCAATAACAGCAGGAAGTGGAAATGCAGCCAATGGTTTTTAAATGGTGATGGATGGTAGCAACTGGTTTGATATAGGCAGATGGGAAGAGCGTTGGTTAGTGGCATACAGGAAGGAGGAGGACACAGATGGAGGGGATAGAGAGAAGTAGTTTGATGAGCACAACTTGTGCAACATGATAGACAGAGGTGGATGAGGGTTGGATAAAAGTAGAAGCTTATTAGGAAAGCTCAAATCAACCTTGACAACTTGGTAACGAACGTCTTGGTTGCCGAGGGCCTTTGACGCAAGCGCGCAGCAGGTGCCCAATTTGAAGCAAGGTGGAGGTCTGACAGGCCTGTCACTCTGTCTCTCGCCTCCACCGTCATCTCTTTGCTTTAATGATGTTGGGCCAGTTTTGGCTGTGGCTCTGTCAGCGTGGTAGGGTCACTGCTTTGAAGCCGGATGAATCATCTCATGGTGTATTGATTGGCTGTTAAAAAAGATAATAAATAAATTGAAGCTTGGATAGCCACCAAACTCATTAAAGGCAGTAAAAGGTTGAGTTAAAAACACTACTTCAATTCTCTAACCTCCATTGATTTGAAGTTTTTTTTCCTTTACCTTAGATCAAATAATATCCTAAATAAAAACTTTAAAGGTCACCTATTATGTAAAATCCACTTTTTCATGTCTTTTAAACATAAACATGTGTCCCCTCTGTGTAAAGAGATTCTGAAAGTTTCAGGAAAAAAGATTCTCTCTCTTTTTGTCCTGATCCATTTATATAAAAACCTGTCTGAAAATGAGCTGATCAGATTTTGGCAACTTTATGATGTCATAACGATGTTTTGGCTTGTGTAACCATTAGCCAATCACCAACCAAGGTAACCCCCCCCCACCTTATCACCTGAATCTCCTCCTAGAGCACCATTGTGTTCTTTTTAACCAAATATCTCTCAGAGGGGCGTGGGGAGGGGCTCCTTATTTTCATCTAAAGTAACAGACAGAGAATCAGCACTTTTGAAACAGGGCTGAAACAGAGGGGATTATGGGATGCTGCAATGATCTGTTTGGTGTTTGGAGCCAATCACTTCAGAGACATGTTCTGTATATATCTGCGACCTATAATATATTGACGAAAAACAGTATAATAGGGGACCTTTAAAGCCATTCCCCTGCTATGGAAGGAGATTGTCCAATCAAAGTTCTCAAAGTATATTTAGGCCTAGCACAGCTATTTAGCTACAGTGCTACATTCACAGCTATAATGTTACTGCTAACTTTATAACGTTACTCACCGTCACATGCATGCTGGACTGCCACCTGCCACCTGGCTTTCAATACAAAACCCTAAAAGGTTAATGTTAGCCTGGCAGACCCACACCTGACAACCTGGCTTAACATTACTGGGGAAGTGGCAACATGTGTCCACAACAGAGCACGCAACATTGTGCCTGATAACTCCCCCCGACAGGTGAACCTGTTACTCGGGCGTCTGCTTTCTCCATATTCTGCAGCTGGCGATAAATGATGGATACAACCCGTTTGTATATCAATTATAGTTGCAGCTTGGTGGCATGTTATAGTTGCCATAGCCACGATAGCAAAAATCGTGGGAATATTTGTGGCATTGTGAGAACTATCAGTCCTGTTTATCTGCTCTTACGTATAGGCTGTAAACGTTAGCATGTTGTGACGAAAATATGAGAATGATATATTAAAGGTGGGGTAGGTAATTTTGGAGAAACCAGCTTGAGTGCGCTAGATTTTGAAAATACACAGCTGGAATCAAATCTGCCACTTCCTTACAGAGCCCCTCCTCCAACACACACGAACGCGCACAAGACCAATGAGGGCACGAGATAAGTTTGTGCACAGATGGAAGGCTGACAGGCAGGTAGGCCATCCAGTTATTTTAGCCGGGCCGGCTAAAATAATTGGTCGTGCTTTTTACAGTATTACGGCTTCCACAGATGACATTTTTTTATGGATTTTTTGTCAAAGCACTTAAGATATTCATTGCTATCGGGATGTTAAGAGCATTCCATGGAATATAACAAAAAGTGTATCTCAAGCCGGTTTCTCAAACGTACCTACCCCACCTTTAATAAATGTGTGCCAAACCCCCAATATAGAACTGAAGATGTGACAAATTAGGCTTACTGGTGATGAGACGAATAATACTAGAATAAAGTTTTAACATTTTTTTTGTATTCATTGGAGGTGAAGGACAACATGAAAGGAGACGTGTGTAATTGCCATTTTTATTTTTTAACTAATTGATCCATTCATTAAAAAAATCTAATTGATTCATTTGTATCAATTCAATCAAGATAGTGGATGAATACAATTTTAATTGCTATTACTTACTAAATTGTCCCACTTTATTTTAATTAAAAAGTAAGAGTGCATTATTGATATTTTGTAATCATCGTGTGTAAAGGACAAAATAAAGTTATCTCTATTTCTAACAATCTTTATTGATACATATTTTAGACTTCTCTTTTACTAACCTTTGTTGGTTTCCATAATGAAAGAAAGAAGTATATACTTTCTGGAAAGAGCACCTGACGCAGAGGGATTTAAACACACTGGAAAAGATAAAACTTTATTTCTCCCTGTCGCGACAATACAAAGTCAACAAGTGCAATAACAATCCAACTGAAAACGGTACTGATCATTCTATCTAAATACATAGACAGAACGTGGTGCACATCATCATCATCACCACCACACCCAACAAGTGAGGTATCAACCACTACAAAGCTTCTGTGTACAGGTGGGTATTCAACTGTAAGGCAACTGTCACCAACCTGGAGAGACTGAAACACACGTGTGCTCTCTTCTTCCCATACATTTTTTTTTATACATGTTGTTTTATTGTTTATTTGGGAAGCAGTTTGAGCTGATATGATTTACAGTACCACATCATCACAAACCAGGCCAGAGTTTTTAAACAAAACAGAAAACATCACAACTTTAACATGTTAGGAAATACGTGAAATCATCCATTTGTGGACCCTGCTACTGCTTGTCAGAGGCAAATTGAAATTGTTTTTCTTCCCTGCGTGTGACTATAACGTTATTGATGGTAAGAAAAGACCTTCTTTGCCTTTTATTGTAGGTCAGAAAATGGAGCATAAACCCTGAAAACCATTACATACTCTATACGTGTTACATTTCCCCCACTCATCCAGCATGATCCTCTTCTTGCTACTCCCCGTTCGCCTCTTCTGTTCACACTCTGGGAATAAGGAGGCAGCTACAGAGAGCAAGAGAGTTTCATATATAACTGCTGATCACATGGACACATTCTATTTCTTTGCCCCTGAAAGCACAAGTCTGCTGGGGCGCACACGTAATTACACTTCAGCCATTTGAATGTGAATGAACTTGCTTTAACAACTCGGCAAATGTGAATATTATTGCTGATAACTGGGGATGAGGCCTGCAGCACATGAGTTCTGTTCAGAGGGGTCATGAAACATAAAAAGGACCATTAGGCGCTTTCACACCGGAGTACTTTTCCCTTTTAGTTCCGATAGTTCCTGGGATTTTGCGTTCACACCAAAAAGAGAACTTAGTTCATGAGAACTTTTCACCCCTTTTTCTTTCTTGGGGAGAAAAAAGTTCAAATTTCTGACCCAAAGCAGAAGAAGAAGAAGTGACGTCAGCGGCTTCATTTGCGTAATCTTCCCTCAGGGAACTTATTCCGGTGTGAACGCGATCTGCTCTTTAGTTCCATGAGGGAACTAAGTGCTGGGAACTAAGTACGGCAAAGTACTTTGTGTGAAAGCGGCTAATATGATGGCAAGACCCCAAGTCTCATGTCTGGCTTATGGCCAACTCCTAACGATTAACGGCATCTCCTGTTTCAGCGAGGACATTTCATATTACATACAGGCTCAGCAGCTGCCATTGCAGATGCAAGATTGGGACCGACACCTTCTTCCGACCTACCGTCTGTCCACCTGCTCTTCACATGCTGCCGCTCATATTCAGTCTGGCACCCACAGCTGCTTTGTCTAGACCTATCTGGATTACAGATCATTTATCTCATCAGTTATTAACAATTTGGGCCTGATGAAATCACTGAGCTGAAATGACAGTCAATGTATCTATTTGTCCAGCTAACTGGATTTGGTTAATCAATGTGTCGATGTTTGCAAAACAACTCCTAAGTTTCAGCCTAAAAAATGAGGATCTTCTGCTTTTCTTTGTCTCCCATAAAATCACTTGAATATCTTTAAAATATTGGTTGTACAATAAAGGTCATTTTAAACTCTCCCCAAATAGTTTAAAGCATTTTAAACTATTTTGTAACACTTCAAAGAGCAGATCATGTATTAATAAATTGATCAAATAATTGCCAGACTTCAGTAATTAAAACAATCTTTAGTTGCAGCCTATTGTCAATTAGACCATTTAGTAATTATTCAAGTAAGTTACAGTGATTTTACATATGGAAAGGATTGTTATCTTTATTTAATCATATCGAATAACATAACTAAACATTATTTGAGTTTTGGACCTGCTCTCAGGCTGTTGTAAATTATAACATGCAGTTTTATTATTCTCTCAGAAGGTATCGACCAAATGATGAATGACACATATCATTAGTTGCAGCTCTAAAGTGAAAGTCTTCCTTTAAAAAGTATTTTTTTTGTTTCTTTTTATAAAGCCAATAGAGAATGAGTTGGAGACCTTTTTTGACAAGAGTTCATTATCCTGAAATACTGTATGCCCATTTCATTGAGTCCTTATTAAATGTAAATCGTCCTGAAAGCTCTGCGATACACCTCAATGATTACCCAGCGCTCATTTGGACGGGCGCCTCTGACTTTTACACACCATGTCATTCTTCTGATTAACATACTGTACATTATTGCTGACAGTGAAAGGGGTTTTAATGGGTTTTTTACATTTGTTTTATTATGGCTAAGCGCTTACAATTGTCTATTTACCAGTGTGGGATAAAGAGCTCTCCTTATAATGGAACCAAATGGATATTCATTTGCATCATATTGCTAATGGAGCTGTTTTTCAGGCAGCTCCGGTAATGAGGAAGGGCAAACAAGTCAATGGATGAGTTTCCAGAGGCGACTGTCTCACACTAACTAAGTAATGCTCTCAAATGGGTCTGTAGGCTCATAGCCAAGGATTCATGTTTAACTTAGCATGAAGCTCTTTGCTGTTGTAAAGGCATCCCTGATCCTCATTCATTGTTTGGATGAATAACTTATTGAGAGTGGACATCCCTTTCCTCAGCATCACAAACCGAAAAAGAGAAATATTGATGACCTAATGTAAAACCTTTAGATCTACAACAGTTTATCTGTATGGCCTTGTGTCCTTGTCAGACACGTTACAATATAGAGAGAACACTTCATACAAGATATTGTTTTTCAACATGGCTGCAGAGACATTTTGTGTCTAGTTTCAGTAAGTAACAAAAACACTCTACTCTAAGTGAGATGCTCAGCATCAACCTAAGCTGTTACATGTTCCCGAATGTCAACCACTCATATATTTCTCTGACTACTTCACATAAATAAATCACCAAATAGATAACCCACATCGTGTCTAACTGCTACTGAACACAAACTGACACAGCAGTGTAATAAACATGTTATATTTAGAAAGATGAGCTCCTCGCTTCATGTGGGTACAGTTGATCCAGTTCAGCTCGGATCTGTTGGAGATGCTCCAGGCTTTGGCAGCCTTTTCAGGGGATCACTGAACACCTGTGAGCATTTCAATGTGTCGCTCCTCTGCTATGGCAGCAGCAGTATGGTCCTCTGTGTCTCCGGCAGCTTCTGTTCAGCTGAGTTTCTTACTGCCATATCAGTCTGTCAGTCCAAGGGGGGTTTGTGCTCATTAGAAAAGGGCAGCAGTCACTTCTTCCTACTACAGTATGGCTAATCCACCACTGGTGTTGAGTCTGTGGTCCAGAGAGGGGGCATCGGGGGGGGGGGGGGGCGTCTCCTCTGTACCATCAAACGAAACAAGGTGTTGCTACTCTTCAGTTTGTCCACTGCAGCATCGTTCTGTTCAGAGAAAAACAGAAATTGAGCATAAATGTTCATTTTTACAAACACAATCTTATCACAAGGTTCACCTTATACATTTTTCTGAAGCTTGAAACCACAATGGCTTGGACATATCTTAGCAGCTTGAGATGCCTTGTCATGAAGATGGTGTGGATATTATCGTTTGACCTAAGTCAGGAATATGTGTCCTTTGAAGAGAACAACTAAGGATTATTTTCATATTCAATCTGCTGATTCTTTTTTAGATCAATTGATTTTTCTTTCTATTAAATGTCCCGTCAAATGAAGAACACACTCTCTAGGATTACTTGCATACTTAGACATTTCAAGTATATCCCTACGAATGGATAAGAGTGAACCCTATTAAGAAATGGAAGAAAATAAATGGAGGGCTTATCATTGCTTCATCCTCTCCAAACTGACATGTTTAGCCCCGACTGCACGCCTGCGTCATGACATTACACCGTGTTGCCACATGAGTTGTTTGGAAAAAACCTGCCGGATCCTTTTGAACAACACGGACATGGGTTTTAGTTGCATGGCTGAAATCGTCTCTGATCCGGATCTGTTGTTTAATAATCCACATTGGTCTGTTATATAACGACATATTGGCTGGATAATCAGTTCAAGGCCTGAAAAACACAAACTAATAAAACGAGGCAGCTTTGCTTTTCAAAAAGCAATCAGATTTACAGGAATATTTTATAAGTCTGTAAATCTTGTAAATACTTTCAGCCCACCCCAACTCTATGAATCACATCCCACATCGCACCCAATTCTGCCACCCAGAATAATGCAACTATAGATGGGAAAATAAAAGTTTCCACTTGAAGGTTATTCTAATGCACTCCAGAGAAATTACCCAAATGAAAAGTAAATGTATGCCAACTGATCTAATAGTAATACAACAATATAAATAGCTGCTTCCTGACTTGCTCGTGGCCATGCCAAAAGTCATTCTCAACTTTAAAGGAGCTAATCCCTTTCTCATACACTTTCCTTTTCGCCTGCAGCAGAACTCTGTCCCTGGCTGCCTTTGTAGCATCTACAGTATGATGTTAATTAACTCACACCACATGGAGAGTGTTGCTTTAATTGGACAAGGCCTTGGCATGCTGCTCTGTGGACGGACAGGCCAGGAATCATTTCATAATGCACAATTATATTATTACCACAGAACCACTGAGTTCAAAGATGGATATGAATATGCAGGAGGCTTTGATCACGCTCTGACAGAGAAAAGACTTTGGGGAAAAAATATGTTGTGCTGTTTCAGTTGCTGATTGAAGTCAAGTGTCATTTCCCCGCTTAGTGCTTTTGAATGTGTTGAGATGGTTACCTACAGCCAAAGTTATGGAGACTCCATTTACTAGACTGAGTGATAACGCTGAGTCACAGGGGTCTGACTGTAAGAGGCAGTGTTACGGTAGCTGGTGAGTCAGGTATTTGTTGAATGTGTCGGCCGATGCCACCCTCACATGAACCGTGGCTGAGCTCAGCTGGCCCAGGGAGATACCAAGCCTGAGTCAGTGGGCGGTTACTGGCACGAGGTGCTGCTGCAACGCGGTACCAAGTGATTTATGAATCTCCAAGAGACTCTTTGACGTGTCCTTGATGTGCAGTGGTGCCATTTGATGTTGCCCAACATCTCAATTCTCCCACTTTCATCTGTGGCTGATCCTCAGCATACATTAAAACCAAGGTTGAACTAACCGGCAGCTATTCCCACTTATCCTTGAGGGTTGTTAGGAGGATATTAGGAAGCCCATACCAGCTGACATTGGATGTTAAGCAGGGGAAACCATGGACAGGTCGTAATCCCAATTATTCCAACGAACGAGTAAAGAGGCAGCTTATGTTTTTATCTTGATTTAAAGAGATATTTTTGAACAGCAAGTCTTGATCGGCACTGACTAAAGACATTTTACATTGATTTTAAAATATGCAGTAAAGCCAGACTGAAATGACAGCAGCAGATCAGACATGTCCTGCAGTTCTGAGAGAGGATAGTGTCAGAGTGAGCAAACTACACAAGGAATGTAAAATAGTAAAACATATAAGAGATTCTCACTGCCAGCTTTTTTCTTTTGGAGTCAAGATATCCAGATGTTGCTGCTGCTCCCCGGTACCACTTATTATTTCTCGAGGTGGACTACAGAGAGGGTTGGCACAAACTGGGATCCCGGCCAAACTCTAAATGTCCTAATAGCCACGAGTGGACAACCAATCGGTGCTGCAGGGCACTTAATGGCGATAAACAGGAACTGCTGAGTTTATTGCCGTTATAAGGGTTACATGAGAGCCCTGCCAGGATGTTTTTTTTTTTCCTGTGCCAATTTCATAGCTTAGTATAGTGGTCACCTGTCATTTATCTGACATTCCACCACAGCCCCGTCAGACAAGCTCAAGTAGCCCAAATAGCTCTCGCCCGGTGTGTATTCATATAAATGAATATAGTTCTACACTTTGCTTATTCCCTCTTTAGTCGAGAGTTGAATGAGAAGATGCATTCAAATATGCTGGAACAAGCAGCAGCTTAGTTTAAAGACTGAAAACCACCTCTGTCTTATTGTAACAACATCTGCCAACCAACCACATTTTCATATCAAAATGTTAATTAGTTAAAAAATGAACTCGGTCCACCTGATGAAGCACTGTGTGCTTGAGAGGTCTAAAGCTCTCTAATTAAAATGTTAATTAAAAATGATGCCATACAACACACAGTGATGTGGGGTTGACGGGGTGGATGCTTTAACAATGTATCAACTAACAAACACAGTGTCACTGATTCGTTACATTTAAGGTGTCTTCTGAGCATTTGTAACAATCAATCTATTTAATTGCAGTTTTACCTTTTGTGCGATATGTTGCCATCTAAACACAAATATGTGGATATATTTATATATTTTTTAACCAAAATTATAGTTATTTGTGTTATTAGCTGAGCTCTACAATCTTTCAACTGCAGAAGTGCCTCATGTGATACTAATATCACTTATCAATCATTGAGTGGGATGGTGCTGCCATGAGGTGTCACATTACCCTGAGAGTAAACTCCCATCTGCTGTCAATTTCCCGCTCGTAACGAAACAACGCATTCTTCCATCCAATCAAGTGACCGTAATGTCTGGCTTAGCAGACCTGCAGTTGTTTCTCTCACCTGGTTCGCACATCTCTTACTGAACACATTTTATTTGCTCAAACTGGTACGAAATAAATGAATAGGAGATTTCATTAAAGAGTATCCGCAGAGTGAAGATAATGACGGTTTCGCAGGACGCCCACACTGAACTCGAGCACTATATACCAGCTCGCTGACGTAGAGATATGGTAAACAATTTTCCCACACGCTGAATGCCAAGCTTAACTTTCTCTGAAGAAATAGATCATTGCATGTGGAGAAATGTTTTGATACTTTGACTTTTAGCTGTGACGTTTGCTCCGCTGCACTGGGTACCATTTGTTCTGGATTCCTGAGTTGCTGTGCGACTGGGTTGTTTTTAGATGTTGCTGTGCCCTATGTGGGACTTGACCCCATCTCTGTTTGTTTACATTTGGCCAACAGATGTTCAAGTGTAAGTGGACCCAGTTTTCTGAGACATTACCCTACGTCTTCTCTGGGGATGAAGATCTCTACCCCTGCAAAGAAACCAAGGGCCGTCTGATGACGCACTGTGTGGGCAACATCAGCTGTGGTGAACATACAGTATCACCCATTGTAACTTAACACATTAAACAAATCACAGAAGCATTATCTAGATTGTGAGAAGTGGTTCGCCTTGTGAGACTGCTCAAGTCTATTCTAGGCTATTCTTGCCCCAGAAACTGCTGGTGACTTAATTTAGCTCCCAGTATCTGTCAATTTCTCTGGCGGGGCTTATATAATAATATTCATAGCTATTTGTAAAAATGCTCCTGCTTATTAAAAAGCCCACACCGCTATCCATGTGTAAGTATTTCCCATCAATCATTGTCGGCATAAATAACAATGAACTTTACATGTTCTCCTATTCTTGTCCCACTTTGTAAATGAGCATTTTGCTGTGATTTCAATCACCGTTTTTAAAGACTTCCTCTGGTTAAAGCTGCAGAGCTGCCAGGTCAACCTCACAAGTCCAGGATTGATGAGTCCTATCACATTGAACTGACTTCATGTCTAATGAGGAGGCTCCATGGGTATGTCTAGTGTTAGTTAACCATGTTTCCACCAGCAAAGCAGTCCCACGATCCCTCTGCAGCATCTCAGCTCGCCTATCTATGGCGCACACAGTCCAGACTGCTTCTCAAAGCCATTTGTCAAACCTCTTCCCGCATTAAATTATCATGACCCAAGAGAGATGTCTACCTCTAGGAAGAGACGCTGAGCCTCAGTCTAACAGATAGGGTGCAAAGTGCTGCAGATGGAGAACTGCATGAAAAATGGTCTGCACATAAATGTGGGTTGGGGCAGACTCTATGATCGTGTGGCTGTATCATAGAAGTCTGAGCAGCCAAAAGAACAAAAAGTTCCCGGGGGCTGTTATATGTTACAGTTTCCTCCTGGCATCGTAAATCATCTTGTATGTTTTAACAACAGTCACACGCAGCCAAAAACACCTTGAGACTCCCGTGACTGTTCTCAAAGGTAATAAAACAGATAAACTGAAAGGACAGCAGATGATGCTTTGCAACAGAAACTCTTTGAAAGGGCTCTAATGTGACTCATTCATATCTTTCAGGTTAAATCAAAGTAAGGGGCCTCTGGCAGGCAGCGCAGCTTTCCCATTATACAGTTCTCTTTTATTCATTAATGATGACCTAATGAGCTGGTCAGACTTCAAACCCAAATGTCTCCATTAAAAGGATCTTGATGTTGAGGCAGTGCAGCTATAGAGATGAAAGACAAATACAGATCAGATGCTTTGCTGAAAAGTATCCATTAGTGGGCGGTGAGGCAGAATTCTTAAAATATTGATAAAGCCTGTTTCCCTTACTCTGAGGAGGGAAGCTATTAAAATGACTGAATTCTTTACCAGTGAGTTGCTATGATTCAGGAACAGATTTAGCATTATCCCTGGTTGTGTGTGTGTGTGTGTGTGTGTGTGTGTGTGTGTGTGTGTGTGTGTGTGTGTGTGTGTGTGTGTGTGTGTGTGTGTGTGTGTGTGTGTGTGAAAGGAATTTGAGTAAACGGGGAGCCTGATGTTTGAGCTTCCTCCCTGTTGGCTTGGGGAATGTATTCAAGAAATGCTCTAATTTGTCCTGACACACTGTTCCCTGCCATGCTGCTCTCTCTACGTAACAAAACATTCAGTTCAAAGACAAACAGACACACAAGGAAATGAGACACGGAGGGAACCTGTGTTTAAAAAAAGAAATGTAAGAGAACATTTCTTATAGGGGCATTTGAGTTTCTTTCTAAGCATCGGATACACTTTTAAAATAACAAGTCTCTGCACTGACATGCTTGTTAGAGTAGGGCAATTTATATTCATAATATATAGTCACATAGGGTAGAAAATCCTACTGTATGTCATTTTTTTTAATGTAAACGGCTTCTTTCTGAGATATAAATCTCATGTGTTTTGTGTTGACAGCGGTGTCGTCTATTATTAGGTAAAATAAGCTTTAATAGCAGAACTGATCTGGCTTCTTTGCTAAGTGAAGTCCATCAAAGAAGAGTTACGCAAAGCATTTACATTTTTGATAAACACAACACAACGTTTTTTTTAAGTTTACGGAATTATCTTTTGTCAAGCTATTATTATTATTACATTACATTACATGTTAGACGCTTTTATCCAAAGCGACTTACATACTCAATACTGTTGGCAATCCCCACAGGAGCAATTTGGGGTGAAGTGTCTTGCCCAGGGACACAACGACATGCTGACTGCAGTGGGGTTTGAACCTGTGACCCCCTGGTCCCAACACCAAGGCTCTATTCACTGCGCCACACGCCTCCTGCTACAAAGCTATAATTTGACAACCTTTTGAGTACGTTGACAACTAATGGGACAAAGGCTAAATATGTGCAACATTTTGTAATTCTGAGAATATTTGTATTTTTACAGGTTTCTCCCATAGACTGGGTTTCTCCCCCTTTTCTTTGACTTTGCAATAATTAATAAATATATCCTTATATTATCAGATTTCCTAGTGAACTAAGCCTCTGCAATCCCTACAGTATTTCCCAGCTGCTATGTACCTGTCTGAAATGTACACATTATTATTTGCACACTGCCAGCGCTCCCATGGAGATTATTCCAAGCAGACACCAGCTGTGGTTACCCAGGTGATTAGTGACGTAAATCTTATCTCAAAATTTGCTGATTCTCGCAGCTTCACATTAGATATACATGCCACACTGCAGGTTGGCGGTGGTCATGTGACGGACCGTGACTCACCATGCGGTGGATGTGTTGTAGGGCAGCAGTGTGGGGCTGTGGCTCTCCCCTCTCAGGCTGTTTCTGGGCTGGTAGTGGCTGGAGACGGTGGGGGGGGCTTGAGCCGGGGCCTCGCTCTCCTCCGGCATGGACCTGTGCCACTGACTGCGAGCCTTCTTCAGCCAGCGCCCGCCCAGACCCCATTTCTCCAGGTACACCCGGCACAGCTCATAGTTTATGGCAGAGTAGTAGAGAAAGTCCAGCGCCAGCAGCACCATCACGAAGAAGCCGTAGATCCACACGCCGACCAGGGCTGTGTAATTACTGCGGGGGAGACAGACGGGGGGGTATTAGTACTATTAATCTGGGAAAGATGATGATGAACACTCACATGCTAAGAGCTACCATCCAGAAACCATCGTATCCCAAAAGCTACGTCAGAGCTGCCAGTTGTAAATGTTTGCCGTTCATCAAATGCTCTAAAAACAAATACATTTTGAAAAACCCTACATCTGTTCCAATTGCTGCTTTTTAAAATCTCACGATTTAAATTGCAAAACAAAGTCATTAGCACAAGACGCCTATTAATCCATTTTATACTGGCTCCAGAAATAGCTATCCGAGAAATATGAGAAGCATCATTTGCCAAAACAGGGTTGCTAAATATCTGGGTGTGATGTCTTTGTTTCTGTGCTGAGGACATTTAGTTGAAAATTGTCACACACATTGAAAGGGACTCTATTACACAGAATAAACCATTATTAATCTGACTCCTCGACAGAGATGACACAGGATATTACTTCAAAATAGAGCTTAATAAAGAGGGAAACCTATCTTTTATGTCATTACGACACAGTTTGCAATTTGTTTGACTGTATGACTGAAACTCTCACAAAAAGGTGATGTTCAAGGGCTTCTAGTTGAGTGAATAAAGTGAATCCACTCCTGTCTGAAAATGATAGGTGGCCTTGGGATATTTATCTAAAGATGTGGATATAAAATGAACATCTGCGCTGCTTGAATGAGCACCTAGACAGGCTAATACTGCACTACAGTAAATGTGTCCGACTCCTTAACTACCTTTGCCTTCACCTCGGTGTTTAAGACATTTACTCATAATATAGTGTGTGTCTACTCAGGTAATTTGAGGGGGCAATAGGCTCTATTTGAGTGGAGGTTAGCAAACAAGAATTTGTGCACAGTCCTTGGCTACATCCATCATGACCACACAACTAAAACAAATGTTATTCAATATTTTACACGGCTCCCTCAGAGAATGAAACAGAGGCAATTGATTTTCTGTCAGAGGTTTCTAGCAGTTTGTGTTGCTTTACGAACATTTCATTGTGCAATACCTCTTCCACTCTGAATCTATTCTGATTCTGCATCCTTTTCAGCTACTCTGTAACTAAATGGAGAGCTATATGCTACAAAGCACTGACTTGTGAAACCCTCAGAGGACAACCACCTTTAGTGTTACCTTGAAGTGGAGGAACATCTAAAGCTATAATACAATGTCCTCCATGCAGTTTGAGTAGAGAGTAGAGTTATGGCCTGTTTAACTCGCTTGGCCAGAGGTAAATATCAAACCTGCAGTCCCTTCGCCCCAGTGAGCCAGGATGAAAGAGTGGCATAACAGGCCATCTGACACTTAAATGAAATATCATGAGCTGCTGCAGGGCAGTGTGAGCCACCAGAGACAGACGCATGCTGGGAGGGCATTAGTACACACGGCTGAGAGCTGCCACACAACAAGAGGATCATTTTTCTGTGTCATTCATTCCTGAATCTGTGGATAAATGGAGGGATGGATGGATAGATAGATAGATAGATAGATAGATAGATACTAGATAGATTGATAGAAAGAGATAGATATACAACTAGATTGAAGATAGATAAATAGATAGATATACAACTAGGTAGATAGGTAAACAACTATGCATAGATATAAAACTAGATAGATACACAAGTACATAGATATATAAATAGATATACAATTAGATAAATGGATGGATATATAGATAGATAGATAGATAGATAGGTAGGTAGATGGATAAATGGATAGATAGATGTACTTTATTTTCCATCCCAAATTGGGATGTTTTGAAAATAACGATTAAGCATGTCGGCAGGTATGCGTGTCCTCTGTAAAAAAAAAAAAGAATTATTGAAGTGTGGTTCACTATGAATAATTCTTGCAGGTGTCTGTACTAGACGTGATCCTTACGGTACGTCCACACGGCAGTGTGCGTTGAAGCTTGCCGGTGGGCGTGTCTGGCGTACGACCAACAACCAATCACATTAATCTCCCGCTCTGGACACACAAGCACGCGTTTGATTAGCTAGACGCTTGAAAAGTTGAACCTTTCTCAACTTTCAAAGCGAGCAACGGAGGCAAAGCGACGCGACGGAACCACAATGCAGTTCGGCAAAGCGTGACGTCACTCCATGCAAAGTGAATGGGAAGCTTCTCTGTTGAAGCAATGCACGCTGCCGTGTGGACGGGCCGTTAATATAAAAGCCAGCACTTAACACCTGCCTTTGTGTGAGATAAAGGCCCCGCTCACACAGGACCGTTTGCGTTTATGCACAGTATGCGTATTCAAAAAAGTCTTCCGTTCACATGCATTTGTTTCATTTAACGTGTCTGTTCAAACGAGGCCGCTGGAAACGCTGTAGTACATATGCTGGGACTGTAAGTGGCGCTGTAACTTCCGCCAAAATACACCAAAAGCCGCGAAGAAGAGCAACCGAGCAGCCCGCTGCAATGTTGCCATGGCTACCCTTCTGTTTAAGCCCCGAAACTGAAACTGAAAGAAACTGAAAGAAACCGAATCTGTGGATATTGCATCCCCCAAGAAGCACGTCTCCGTGGAGAGGACGGCTCAGAAAGAGAGATATTCTCTACAAACACCGGGTGAGATCCTCCTTTGTCAATATAATGGATCAATGCATGAAATCTGACTCTGTTTATTTTGTTTAAGGAGTATATTGGGCGTTAACAATTCTGGTTTGCCTTTTATAATATTATTTCATTCAAGAACCCCTTGTGCGTTTAATTAACACAGCTATTTTTGATAGTTGCTTCAGCAGTGAGCAGCAGAGGCGGGGCTATCGTTATTTTTTCAGGAAATATTCGTATCGAGGTGATTACATGGACTCGGTTGACCCCCCAGAGCGTTTCGTTTGCAAATCTATCCACCTTGGGACCCGTTATTGTTTGTGGGGTCAGTTTCTATCGGCCTCGTGTAAATAATAGGGCTATACGCACGCGAAACTATGCAGATACAAGCCGTTTTCTCCTCGTGTAAACGGCGCCAAAGTGGAGGCGTCCCAACACAACAACGGCTCTCAGCATCTGCTCTTCTCTGAGCTGGTTTGAATGCCTCTGTATGTGGATCGATGTCAACAAACCCTCTGAGTAAGAGGCAGACAGTGTCAATGAGTGCGATACTGTCGAGGGAGCGAAGCGTTTGTGAGCAAGCAGACTATAACCAGCTGTTTTATCTGATCTGAAGACGTGTCATCTCTGAAGCTGTTTGTTCCACTAGAGGCTGATCCCAAAACACTCTACAAGATTCAGCACAACCTATTTTCCCTAATTATCCCTAACAAGCCATACAGGCTTGCGTTTCGTCCCATTTGTTTTTATCATTGCAGTATAACTCAAAAACTACAAAAGTGTTATCGATGGAATTTGGTGTGAATTTCATCATAGCCCAAAGAAGAACGGATTAGCTTCTGATGTGAATCGAGCAACACTAAACCCATTAATAAAGCACTTTAAATGTTGCTCATTGATTTTGGAAATCAAGGCATTCAAGTAGCTATTCAGTCTAATGCCTGGGTTGTTATTCATCCATGGATTTAATTATTTTCCAACATACCTGACGTCCATCATAATCATAAGATCCAAATGCATTTCTTAAATGTTCTTAGTAAAAAGTTACACAATAAAAAGACAAATGAGTGCATACAGTTTGATCTGTCACATTATCAAAAAGTGAAGTTTAACGTTTTTTTAAAGTTATTTATTAACTTAATTTGCATTTCAAAACACCCTCTGTTGGTCCACCAGGATAACTTGAACAAAAAGCCAATCTAAAAGGGACAGTCCTACTATGTGCCTATAACAAAAGGACTTCATGTAGATAAAGACATATAAATGTTTCTTATCAGCATATTACTCTCCAGGCTTCAATATGTTTTTCATAATCAAATCTCAAAATGAACCAGAAAATAAAAATAGGACTAATGACCCAGAGCATGTGTTGGTGCAGGTGTGTAAAGAGGTTAAGGGGTCAAATGATAGCGCGTCTGTTTTGTACTTACTTGTGTGCGTAACCGTCTGAGGTGGTGGTGAGGTTGACCTGCATGACCACCTGGAACTCGCTCTCGTTGCAGCAGTATTTGAAGGCGGTGTTGTTGTGGTAGCAGCAGAACATGTAGGTCTTGTTGTTGTCTGAGAGGCGTGGGCAGTGAAAGCCGAAGTGGTAACGCCCCTTGTTGTCGGAGTACGGTTCACACACTCGGTAATGAGCTGAGAGCGCTGTGGATTTGTGAAAGGACAAACCGTAAGATGTTAAATAAAAAAAAATAAACAGACAGGAGGTATTTCAGTACGTCAGGAAACAAAAACACTATCACACGTTGAAATTAACTCATGACCTTTTAAGAGTTTGTGTTTCCCTCCCTTCCCTGAAAAAATGACAACCCCTTATTTGAGTTATTGATGAAAAACGGCTCCCTTTTCAAACTGCAGCGGCTAAACTACAAAGTACTGAATGCTTTTCTTTAGCCTCAGAGAAGATGTGACTTGAATGCTATAATAAAAGTGTAGGATTAGAAACTGAAAATCACATTGTAATTGCAGGAATAATCAGATAGGAGTTGTAGCCTTAAGGACCTGATAAAAAGATCGATCATCTGTTTTATTAAAGGAACACAGCAACTCAAAAACATTGAGTAAATATGATCCATTAGGTTATGATGCAAACATAGGGTCCGTGCCTCTGGGTGGATTCACTTCAGACCAGTTTCAGAATTTTCTACATCAGAAGAATAGTAGATCTAAGTTTATTGTGAAGGAATCCACAGATATGCGGTACAAATAATACTCCTTTAAATTCATTTTTAGCTGTGCATTCAAGTGCCTGCAGCTTAAGAAGAGATGAACATCTGAGCATCCTTGCTGCCTCAGAGGGAAAAATAACAATATTGTTTTTGATATAAAGTCTGGCAACCAATAATGCAAAATGAAATCAACAATCTACGTTAGCAGCAGCTGAGACTCCATCTGATGAAAAATAAATGATCAATCTGTCAGAGAAATGAACCAGATATGATTAGTGTCAGTTTACGGGGCTGATGATAGTAAATGCACATCACAGTGGAACAGGAAGTACCCACAAGCCTTCAAAACCTATCAGTATCAGCATTTGTTTGTATAGCCTTACTTTATATTACTAATAATAAGACCAAGATTGAATGCAGCGTAGTTTAATATAAAAACTGCTGGTTAGTTATTTTATTTCATTTACTTTTGATTTAATCAGTCAGGTTTTTCTTTTACATTCTGGCCAAGATAAGGAACAGTAAGAGGGAAATATGAACAGCAATATAAAACAGACAGGCTTAACACAAAATATACCACAAATCAGAAATAGACAACTTTAAAACTTAAATAGCATCTAAAACAAGCCAAGAGTTGTTTTAAACCTTTAAAACAAAGACCAAGAATTGAATGACACTTGTACATCCAGATCCTAAATTACTCCTTAAAGGTGGGGTAGGTAAGTTTGAGAAACCGGCTCGAGATACACTTTTTGTTATATTCCATGGAATGCTCTTAACATCCCGATAGCAATGAATATCTGAATAATGAATAAGTGCTTTGACAAAAAATCCATTAAAAAAATGTCATCTGTGGAAGCCGTAGTACTGTAAAAAGTACGACCAATCATTTTAGCCGACCCGGCTAAAATAACTGGATGGCCTACCTGCCTGTCAGCCTTCCATCTGTGCACAAACTTATCTCGTGCCCTCATTGGTCATGTGCGCGTTCGTGTGTGTTGGAGGAGGGGCTCTGTAAGGAAGTGGCAGATTTTTTCCGGCTGTGTATTTTCAAATTCTAGCGATCTCGAGCTGGTTTCTCCAAAATTACCTACCCCACCTTTAACATTGGGAGCCAGAAATGTAAACAACATATGCTTCGAAGGACAATTGAATGTGGACCTATATTGGACACATATATTGTAGGCCCATACCTATACAAAACATGTCTGTGAAGTTTTTTGCTTAAAATACCAAACAGTTCACCCTTTGTAGCCATGCCTCATACTGCTCATACCTCTCTTTTGCAGCCCTGTTAGAGAAACACGGATGTTGGGTTCTTGGCTTGAAAAAAAAAAAAAGAGAAGGCGGAGCTAATGCCTGATCAGAATTCTACCGGAGATAAAGTTAAATTCTGCTGTGATAAAACGCCATCCTGTTCTAAACCACATCAAGGATTTTAGCTGAAACAGTATGGAGCTCAAATGCTTTTTCTCTCTCAGGTTTATCACAAGGTGAGTTCCTTTTTGTATTTCCTGCTTTTTAAGCACAGTACAGGGTAGCTCTGAGTGTTAGCGAGGCTTGCTAATGTAAACAAAGACGAGATTACGTCCAAAACACGTCAGGCATTGTTTCTGATAGCAACTCTCTGTGGGTCCACCATCCGAAATTACGTCATATCGGCAGCAAATCTGTATCCGCTCGTTGTACCCCCGTTTTTAAAATATTTGGGTACGGAGGAAAAGAGAGAGGGTTTCATTTTCTGACGCTGCGTGAGTTCCCTGACGCACCGGGGACACATATTTATGTATAAAAGACATCAAAAAGTGCATTTTGCATGATAGGTCCCCTTTAAAGTTAAAATAAACTCGACCTGACTGTGTAATGGTTACATTGCTACTAAATAACTGCAAATATTTTTTTATAATTTCTTAGCTGCAAGAAATGTGAAACCCTGATTCAATTTCCGGGTGCGAAAGCCCAAGTCCTGCGGTGATATCAGACATGCTGATCAATCTGGCTCCAAGTGTGTCATCTGCTGATTCGATAATAAATAAACCTCTTTGATTTATTTTTGCTTGATCATTCTCAGTCTAAACACAAATAAAATCAGTTTCCTGTGAAGTGCATCCAGATTAGTTTTACTGTAACCTGTCTTTATCGTCCGTGTTTCCTTTCATCAGGGCCGACTAAAATCTGGCAGTAGAAGTGTTGTCACTGTGATTTAGTTCAAGGTCCACTCCTGCTGCGGGGTGATAGAAGTCTTTCAGCAATCTCAGACAGGGAGCGATCAGCATTTGAAAGGAGAGAGCTCTTTTAGATTATAATGAGCTCGGTGTGGCCAGCCATCTTCCCATTGACAACCAGGAGCATTAGTGGGGGTGAGATGAAGAGGGCTGAAGGACACGGAAAAGTTAAAGGTGTTTTTTTATTGGGAGAAAACCCTTTATTTGACCCTTTGATTGGTGTACTATGGTTCTGCAATCAACCTGTGTTATTTATACCCTATAGCTCCTTGCATGTGAAGGAGGGGTGAACAGTTGGTCGGTATAAGCACTGGCAATAAGGAAACAGACGTCCTCAACATGGAAAGTGGACCATAAAGTCCTCTCATGATGCAAAACGTAAAGCTTTAAAAAGAAAAGAGTTCAAGGAAAGTCTCTGGCTTCTCAAATGAACAACAGCTGCTGGAAACCATACAGTTGTAAACACATGCAACTGTTTAATTTAATTAACACCTCTTAATATTTAGGATACAGTTAACAGCTTGGCCTCAACGTGGCTTGGCTGTGGCTCGCTCTCCACCACTCGGATAAAAACCCTCAACATCTGAACACCAGTCGCTGCCTATGAAGTTTATTACGACTTCACTCACACGAAGAAATGTTTTTCTTCTAAAACACACTGCATGCCATCAGCTTACCAATAGGACAACAGAGTGTTCAATCAATCAATCAATCAACCTATCAATCAACAAATCAAAAATCCTGCTGATTCTAGCTTCTCTATTGTGATATGCTTTTATTCTTTGTTTTATAATATTGTCAATTGAATATATTCAAGTTGTTATTAATGTCGATCAAACCAAACTTGATAATGTAACTTTCTGACTATTTTTCACATATTTCAATATTTACGTTATGGTTTTTTAGGCAAATTCATCAACAAAACAGAAGAAACATTACAATTGAATACTGATTTCATTCAAATAAATAATGAATCTTAAATAAATCCACTTCTTAGTTAGAAGTTGGATGTACGGTCACGTTATTGTATTAAATCATTGTGGTTTCTAATTTACAGTATTCATTGCAATGGCAGGGATTTTCTCTATTCCAGAGAAGATGTAGTCAAACTTATTTTTCTGTGGTGTGGCAAGGGTGGAAATCCAGGTATAACACCCGTCTCTGTTGGCTGTTAAATGCATTTTTATGGTAAAGTTAAAACATGTTACTTTTCTTTTGATTGGCTCGTTATTAACAGATTTCCCTTTCTTACTTTGATGCTAATTCTCCTCCTGTTAGCTTTTGTGCCGATGTTTCCCCTCCATCCTTCCTCTTGCCCTATTTTGTCACATTTTAACTGAAGTTGGCATCTTTTCCCTTGTGCATAATGTATGTTATCTGAGAGATATGTGTTGGCTGGGTTCTTTCTTTTCTATCTTTTGGGGTTATAATGTGCTCTCTTCACAGTTTTATGCAGCATGGCCTCATTTACACAGCACCTTGAGGTTTAGCGCTTTTCCTGCCAAGTATACTTTATATTTTGGCAATAAATGTTTCTAAGTTAAAGTTAGGGTAGGCAAGAATGGAGAAACCAGCTCGAGTGCGCTAGAATCTGAAAGTACGCAGCCGAAAAAAATCTGCCCCTTCCTTCAGACTTCCTTACAGAGCCCCTCCTCCAACACACACAAACGCGCACATGACCAATGAGGGCACGAGATAAGTTTGTGCACGAGATGGAAGGCTGACAGGCAGGTTGGCCATCGGCCCGGCTAAAATAACTGGTCGTGCTTTTTACAGCGCCGCGGCTTCCACAGATGAAATATTTATATGTATTTATTGTCAAAGCATTTCATGTATTCATTGCTATCGGGATGTTAAGAGCATTCCATGGAATATAACAAAAAGTGTTTCTGAAGTGAATTACCTACCCTACCTTTAAGTGTCTCTGACTTAACTTCTGGCCATCAGCTGTCAACTTCTATCTCCTACTAAAACTGTTTATTTTAGGGTTGTTTTCTGTATTTAGTTCATGGCCCTGCTGGCTCACTCTGTAAAGGACTGTGACTTTTTGGAGCATCCAACGTTTATAGAAGCTGCTTCGAGCATGCCTATATAATCTAAGAACACTCTGAACATCTTATACGAGTGTCTAGAGGCCCATGTAATAAAATAAATATGAACTTTTGAAGGCCAGACAGATAAGCACACAGAAAACTTTACAGACCTGCAGTGGACAGCAGGAGGAAGATGACCGTCAGGACATTGAAGGACTGCCGGCTGGTGATAGTCATCTTCTCGTCCTCATGTGTGAAGAAGGGAGGGAGCAGAGGGGATGGATGGGGGGGGCGGCTCTGCTTTAGCTGGGCGTGGGCATCCTTTGCTTGTTGACAGCTCCTCTCACATGGCTGCTGCTGCTGGGAGTCAGGACTCCTGATGGGAACAAGACAAGCAGAGAGAGGAAAGATGAAGAGATTTGATTCAGATTTCTGGAAGTTCCTCCCCACTGTGTGGACAGCTTGTCTGGCAGAGAGCTCCCATCATGCCGTCTGAAATCTGTCCTCAGGTTTACAGAATATGATGGCTTGGGCATTCATTTAAATTGAAAGTGGCACTCCGGCCAAAATCCCTATAGTGACATAGTAACATTTTCTTTTCTGTTTTTGACAGGAGGAATGTTTGCACTCTATGCTGGCATTTTAGATTTGGAAACGCATGTTGTAGATTTACAGTATTGTACTTATTGTTCATGTTTTTATTCAAACAACCAATAACAAAAATAATAGTTAGTTTGATTGACAAGTCCATTACATTTGAGTATGTTATTTGACATTTATAATCAGGTAGTAAGCATGCAAATCACCCTAATAGAGGATTCACCTTTCAATGATAAATCAATTATTAAATCATATGTACTTGTATTATTTTTTATTACGGATTACAAACCCATAAAAAGCATTACGGTTGGTTGCATCAGTAATTCTGCCTTTCTTCAAACTTTCCTGGAAGAACAAATAATGCTTACTGATGCAATATGTCAGCACAAAAATATTGAATAGAGAACTAAGAGTAAATAATGAATATATTTCTCTTATTAATATTTAACTTTTATCTTGCTTTTTGATCAGCTTACCCTGTTGAGAACTAAGATTTAAAAAAAGAATGATCTAATAGCCAGCAGATATGTTATTATACAACTACTTGGCAGTAAAGAAAATGCAATAAAAAGATGGGCTTTCTCAGATAAATGTTTTTATAAACCAAATATGTAATAATGAATAACATAACTTGCTCCCTCAGCACAGTTCAGAGTTTTGATAGCAGAACTGCTGAAGAGCAGTTTTCCTGTAAATGATGCATCCTGGGAGTTTGTGAACTCATCTATCACTGTACAGTTAGATTTAAAGCTGTGTCACAGATATCCCTTCACTGTTGCTCAAATAGATTAATGGGATGGCGTAACGTTGTGCTTTGCCACGCTTGTTCCTGTTCTTTGGTAATTATTCCTTTAATAGTACCGGAGGACATTGCACGTAAACGGTCCCTGCCCATGCATAAGTTAAGGGTGAAATCGATCGTAATATATTACAAACTCCGTCAATGAACCATTTGAATTTAGCAGTGGCTTTACTTTAGTAAAGTTGAGCATCACCTTGTTGTTGAATGTGACTTTGAAGCTCTTATCAGTGGCCCCACATGTGACAGAGGAACCCAGCAAGAGCCGAAAACAGGGACGATAATGGATGGTTTGTTTACATTTGAGGGTGGTTAAAATGCAAGACACCAAAGCTAGCTATCTGCACAAGCTTTATGCCAGGTCGTTCTGAAAAGTGTTGGAAAAATGCGTATTTGCTCCTTAAAGCCATCAAATCTCCAATATTCATGACATGTATTCAATTTCACTTTAAGTACCAGAATCAGCAAATGACCTCAAGACCCCCGAGGGCTTTGGCTGTAAGTTTGTGCAAAGAAAGTGAAACCTTCTCTCTGCAGAAGCTGCATGCAATGTGTAACAAAACTCGAGTCCTGAATTATTGACGAGCCTCAGCAGCTGACAGCAGAAAGAAAACCACATATAAGGAGCAACAACGAGAAGTGTAGGAGAGCTGCTATGGCAGATCACATCCAGTGTGATGTTGCATCACCTTCGTATCCTGTTTGTCTTTTTCTCAAATGATTGCAAGTTGTTTTGGTGAAGAAAGTGCAGAGTATGGTACACAGAAATCTGAGGGGAAAGTTTTGTTTTGAGACACCACTTTGATTCACTTGAACCGATGATCGTCATTCACCGTGTCAGAATCCCAAAGTGATATATCATTTTATAGAGCAGCTACCTTTTGAAGCTGGGATGATGATGATGTGGTTGGTATAATCAAGAGGAGATGATGAAGGGGAATAAGTTAGTAGTACAACAAATGATAGAGAGGTTGCATACCATAGAGCTGCAATGATAAATATTTACCATCAATATGTATACTTGCTATACTATATAATATATAGCTATACCATATATTATATAGTATGTATACATATTGGCAGCATAGTATAGTATATGTACTATATATACTATACTATGCTGCCAGTACAGAAAGCGGGCTGTCAAGAATGTGCAGAGAGACGAAGCACTTAACCATTTTCACAGCTTTCACATCACTGCCCACCTGGCTAATCCATGCAGAACGCGGGCATAGCTGACTTCAGATTTAGAGAAGGTTGGGTGATGCACACCTCTAAAACCTCTATGTGCGTAGTTATAATTTTTTTGTTCATAAAAAGACGATTGATCTGAAAAGGGCCTCATATACTCATCTGTGTACTTTAAGCCTCAGGATTCACCCCAAGTTACCAAACAGCCTTACAAAGATCTTGAAACATCACATGATCAAATGTGATGGCGCTTAGATCTACTTGGGTATTACACATATACACATATTCACTTGGAGCAAAACAATGGGATCCTACCTGACCCGATTTAACTGAATTTAGATGAGACCCTATTCCTATAACCAGGGGGTTTCCCCTGAGATATATATATATATGTGTGTGTGTTCCCTCAGGGGCAGATGAAGACCCTAGCTGGTTAGAAACATGGTGTGTAGCCGCATGAATGTGAAATCAAGCATTACTTAAATATGTGGCTGTTTAATTGTGCCTTCCTGGATAAACAAATGTATTGTGGGAAAGTAAAGTTGTGTCAACACCTTGGAGAATCCCTTTGCCTGTCAGCTGCTGAGTAAGTTACTGTTGTTCTACGTGTTCGAGCTCCCTGGTGTTGCCCCGCTTTCTTACGTAATCCAAACAGCACGGGCTGATGGTTTCACACGATGAAAGCAATACACAAAGCTGTACTGTATGGACAGAATACGTATGTGGAGCACAGCAGGCTGCCTCTGTTGGAGTCTTTTAAAGCGTTTTGATCGGACAAGCTGTTCCCTCTTCAGAAAGCCAGGCAGCTGAGATCCCAGGAGACTTGTTAAAGTAGCATTTTTTTAATGTTTTTCCTCTCTTTTTACTTCTGGTGAGAGCTTGAGTGTAGTCTACTGTCAGTTGACAACATGTGCAGTTCAACGAGGGATTCCCATCTTCTCAAGACTCCTGTTTTTTCTCCTGTGTCTTTTACAACACATTATTTGGTCACACGGAGTCGCACCATTGTGACGTTACTGCCTGTGCTGCACTGTCTGCACAAGGGCAAGGTTCACTTCATCACAGCTCTGCATTTGTTTGCAAAGAAGAAGTGGATGTGAAGGGTTTGTTTAATGACCCTGATGGTAGTGAAGCAGAACATGTAAATACACAACATTGTACACCGCTCCCTGGGACTGAAATGTACTGCGCCGCTGAACAGGCGTGCAACACAGATGGAGCTACTGGCTGTTTATGTCTGAGATCCAAGTCAAATATACATAAAGACCATGACAACTCGGGGTTAGCCACTCTCAGAGTAAATGTAAAGGCTGTTACAGCATGAGAGGAAAAATGTAAACAACTAACACATTCCTAGCAAACCAAAAGCACACAGCTTGTGTACATATAACTCTATTGTTGCCTGACATAAGAAGGAAATATTAAGTGACCAATTACTACAGCTACCACTTTGAATCTAACAGCATTTTTTATCATGAGCACGCCGCAGAAAATCTGTCAGATGTTTGATAAGGGAACGTGCAGGGGAAGATTTATGATTATTCTCAGATTACACAGTGATATGCGACGCCTCCTCATCTCATGAATATTCTTGTCCAAGTCTTATCTTTGTTCAAACATTAACTTTAAAGTCACCAACATGTTATTGTGCTTTCTAGACATCATTATTTATTTATTCTGGCCGGCTAAGTCTTTCATTTAAGAAGCTTTCAAGTTTTTAAAGGCAGGATCTCAACATAAGAATTCTCCCTCCTGCTACAACCTAACTTTATTTTTAGTTAAAACATTTAGGCCTGTCATTTTGAGTATTAACATAACCTTTTATCTCCTGTGTGGATGATAGTAGTTGGATATTTATGCACTCGCTCTGCCTCATTATGAGGTTTGTGTTTTCCTCAGAGCACACAAATACACTCTCTGTTGCTACGCTGGGTCTTAATCCGTGTTAATGTGTGTTATCAATCACCCTAAAACACACAAGTTTGTGAGCATTGGGACTGAGGTGCAGTTTAGAGATGTGACTCCCACATCACTCGGGAAATGTGTGTGTGTCTGGCTGCATCTCATATCTGCTTCTGCTGATGGGCTCGAGTCCAAACAGCGATCAGTATTCTGCTGCGACGAGCCCCGTGCCTAATTGATGCTCCCTTTGACTGTCATCATAATAAATTGGGTTTCATTCACTTCTGATGAAATTAGGGCTCCACTCAGCAGCCCAATGGAGCTCCATTAGGATACGGGCCCATGTTGGGAGATTCAGAGCTATGATCTAATGATCACCATTGGCACAGAGTTGAATTGTGTGCAGCGATATTGTCAATGAGTGGCAGCCTGAGGCCTGAACTGGATGGTTGTAGTGTCCGAGGTTTGTGTTGAGTTTGTCACAAGACCAAGTCATGTTAACACAGTTTTGCATGGCTGTAAACCAGGGTCTCACCTCCAAGGAATTTTTTCGTAACATAAAACAATATGAAATATTTTACTAATAGGTCCTTTTCAATCATTTTTTTAACATCTTTATATCTTACCTCTCCAGCACAACTGGTTTCGTGACAATTATTATGGTAAGCACTGTTGAAAAGAAGGATTCAAACTGTTGGTGAGTGCGTACAACTTTTTTCTCCCTATAACTTTATGATACTTAAACTCAGGGAACCTTACTGATACCAAAGCTCTCATCTCACAAGTGTCAAAACGTGTTATACTTCAATACGTGGAGCTCATTGAGATATTTTGTTATAAAAAGGCAGATGAAGCCAGAGGTGGTTGTGACTGAAACACCAGCT